CGGTCAAGCAGCGTCGCTGCGAGGGTGCATCTGAGGGCGCCCGGGTTCCATCCAAAGACCCGCCAACATCAAGTTCAGTTCGTGCTGAGGTTGTGCGAGGCCGAAGTCCATCTGTTCCTGAAACAGTCGATTGCGAGAAAGAGAGGTATGGTGACGAGGGTGGAAGTGAGGCAAGCTCTGTGACAGTCCCTGAGCCTGAGCTGAAAGACTCGGTAAGTTACTCACATTGCATCACTCATATCAACATCTGCTTATAAAGCTTGCAGACCCAAGAAGTATATGCGCGGGCCAGTTCATGGAGGAGGACAATGCGGCAGGAGAATGAGGAAGAGGCAAAGGCAAACAAGAAGCGCCGCAGTGGCGGAAGTGCGGGAAAGGTTTGATGGCTCAGTACGGTCCCCGGTACCAGAGCAATGATTGAATGTCTCGCAGGACAAGTCGAGCTCGTAACGGCAGAGCTGCCTGTGTGGGAGCTGTCGACCGCAGAGGGTACGGGCGGGGCAATTTATGCAGGCGACATGAGTGAAAAATCAGGGACAGCGGTTTTCAGCAGGATCATGTATATTTTAGGCAGTTAGACCAAATATGGACGGCTGCGCAAAAATAACCTGGACCTCGGGATTACCCACTTCTAGCCTGGTTTCCGGGCGAATTTGTTAAAATCGCTCGTTGACCCAGGGAATTTTACGGGTTCCGGACTCCGTAGTGCATCAAGATGGAAAGATAAACTATTTAGATGGCATTGTCTATAGTCAATCATATTTGATAATAGAAAAGGAAAAGTTGTTTCATGCCACAAAGGCAATCATAACATTATCTTCTGCTTAAGCTTTTTTGCCCAGAGAAAACCTTTACTCAAGCAGAAATCTGTAATCTGGTGGTTATATGCATGCCACCACAGCCAGCACTCTTTCCCCTTTAAACATGATGTTTCTCTTTTTAGTAATTTTATTCAGACTCTGCTCATGCTTCAAGACACTTGACACTCATATGTGCTTTATATTCTGTTATTCCCTTCATTCCATTCTCTTTAACCTTTCTGCACAGAATGAAGGTATGCCTTGACCATTAGTCTACTTTACAATGATGTACTAAACCTTTCTGCATAAAATGAAGAATATAACTTGTTTTGGTTTTTGTCTCATATGTTCTATTGTTAGCCACCCTCTAGTTGGCCAAGCCCAGCACTTGGCCAACTATGTATTCTGGGCTCAAAAATATTGATGTAGCATAATATAGAGCCTCAAATATATCAATAGTATTCATTTCTATATGACTGTATAATTGTATTAAGATCAGTTGAAGGAGACTTGAGCTATACATGCATTACTTCACTGAAATAGCCAAAACACCTAAATTTGGTAGTGTGTCAGACCTTTTCCTCTCATTAACAACCATTCTTTCCACCCCATCACCACTCTCACTCTGTACAGCTGCCTCCATCATTAACATTAGGGTATGTACTACTGCCTCCTAACTTTTTGCAGTCTAATTCCACCTCCAGGGTTATTTGGGCACAGCTAGAACAGCAAGGTCACAGCTTGGGCAGTTCTGGAGATGTCCAAGAAAAAGGATATCACCACTTACAACAAAGGATTGGAGGTGCAGAGAACACATAATATGGCTTCTGTATATGTTATAATTCACTTCTCTTGCACTCTCTTAATTTTATCATTTTTTGTTGTGTGCCAAAGGCATGTCTCTGCTAATCTGCTATTTTCATGTCTGCATAGAACTTTGTGCCATAGAAACAGAATAGGCAACTTTTCCAACATTTATCTATACTGAGGACCCACCTCTACCTATATTTAATGTAATGCATGCATTTTATTCCTAATCTGCACTGTGAAACAACTGTAGAAGGCCAGATGGCAACTTGTATACTCTCTTGGCAGCTTGGCCAAAGTTAAGCACCCTGCTTGATTACTGTGTGCACCTGGCCAGCTGAGATCTATGTCAAGTGCTATTTCTGCAGTCTTACCAAAATATTCATAGTGCTTATAGCAACAATGGAAAAAATTTACTACTTGATAGAATAATAGTTTATATTCATTCTAATAAATCTGGGGTGTAGCATTTTTCTTATCTCCATGCATTTACTAGTATGGAGCAAAATGCTGTAACCTGGCCAACTTCGGAGCATGTAACAGTAAATGTTCTCAGTTGACTGCCACAACCAGGTTCCACTTTTTTTTGAACAACAAAC